CTTGAGCGGGGATCCATTTGAACCCAGGAGTTCAAGCCCAGCAAGAGCAAGAGCAAGGCTCCATCTCTATAAAAAATAGAAAAATCAGCCAGCATGATGGCAAAGACCTGAAGCCCAATTACTTAGAAAGCTTGAGACAGTAGGATCACTTGAGTCTAAGAGTTGAGGTTGCAGTGAGCTATGATGCTGTCATTGCACTGCCAGCACTGTGACCCACCCCACAAAAGAGATAAATATATTGATTCATCGAACATGAGAGTTTTGCCAAACAGGTATAACAAAGAACAATGTTAAAAGGAGTTTAAGCTATGGACAGACTGTTGAAATGATAAGCCATGAAATCTAAACTATACAAGAAAGAAAGTGAAGGAGATTCTGGCTAATGCATTAGTATAAGTGTAAGTAAAGCAACTAATGGTCTGGAGATTCACATGAAGGCAAAGAACACATTTAAGACACTTTTTGATTGGACTACCCATATGGAAGGACACTGCACAGAATTTCTGAAATATTATTTGAAAAATCAGGTGATTTTTTTTTTTTTATGCGGAGTCTTGCTCTGTTGCCAGGGCTAGAGTGCCGTGGCATCAGCCACTCACAGCAACCTCAAACTCCTGGGCTTAAGCAATCCTCTTGCCTCAGCTTCCCTAGTAGGTGGGACTACAGGCATGCGCCACCATGCCCAGGTAATTTTTTCTATATATATTTTTAGTTGTCCAGCTCATTTCTTTCTATTTTTAGTAGAGACGGGTCTTGTTCTTGCTCAGGCTGGGTGGTGAGCCACTGCGCCCGGCCTCAAAAAAAATTATTGAGAACCCTAAGAAGCTTTTGTTTGTGATAGTTATATTTATCAATATTTACTGTATTTGAAATTAAAACAAATTTTTAAAGTTTATTAATTCATTTAAAAATAAAAATAATAAACCCATAGCAAGTTAACATAAATAAATTAATTTTGAAGAAAACTATATTTTCCAAAACAAAAAATATTAGAATGAAAACTTTTGAATTTTTACAAATCTAATATCTTTAAAGATAGCTGGATTTTCATATGTTCTTCTGCATTCAATTGTTTATAATACGTTGTTGTGGTTGAAGTATATGAAGAAAAGCCAGCCTTACACAGACATTTCATTGGTAAAAGAAAGAATATTTTAATCACCTTTTCAGGTAATTGTAGATATTCTTCTTTGATACTATACCCGAATTTGACATATGGTATTTTCTTAAAGATTAGTTGCAGTATTTGTTTTTTTCTTTAGATAATTATGTGTGACCAAAGTTTAGTTGTAGTATGGCATCTGAAACTAGCTAATGAGCTTCTCATACCTTGTGTACTTGTGAGAGAATGAATGTGAAAAGACAAGTAACACATTGTTTGAACCTAAGTAGCTCTGCGAAGTCATGAAGCACACATCATTTTTACTCTACAGATGAAGAAATTAAGTCCAGAAGAGTGCCACTCTTAACTATCTGTGGGAGAACTACTTGTGTAGTAATAAATTGCCCATTATGGGCTAGATTTAATTTGGGGAATAGGCTAGTTATCTGAAAGATAAAAACCTCCTGTTTAAATGACCATGTGGTTTCTTTCTCCTGATTGGACCCTGACTGATAAATGCAGGGTTTTTTTTTTCTGTTGTTTATTTTTTTAATGCTGTATTTTATTTTTATTCTAGACTTATTCTGGACTCTTCTGTGTAGTCATAAATCCTTACAAGAATCTTCCAATTTACTCTGAGAATATTATTGAAATGTACAGAGGAAAGAAACGTCATGAGATGCCTCCACACATCTATGCTATATCTGAATCTGCTTACAGATGCATGCTTCAAGGTAATTGGAAATGTTAGAATACTAAATACCCAGAATTTCTTAAATATAATTTATAGTGTTTTTTAATCTCTCTGTTCTACAAAAGGTTTTAATTTTCTTTTTTAAAAAGAGTAATAAAAGTAATGTTTATTGTAGAAAAATGATAAGTTCTTAAGATTAAGATAGTCAATGTCACCATTTTCTATAGGAAGCTGGTAAGTATATTTGTTGCTCTATAATAATATGTCATGTAAATTTTTATGTTAAAAAGCATCTAGTTTTCATAATACATTTTATTCCCACCACAAGCTAGTATAACCAAAGCTCTATTACATTAGATTTTAAAACCAATAGGAAGAATAATAGGAAAGGTAGATGTTTCAGTGGGGAAAGAAAGATTATAGAATGTTATTTGTGATTTAAAGGCATGTAAAAGGAGACAACAAAAGTTAAAAAGGATGTTTTGAGTTGATTGATTTCAACTGTGTACTTTTGGATTAGAATGAAATACATATTTTTTTTTCTTTTTTTTTTTTGTTTTTTAACTAATTCTGTAACAGATTAATGAAATACATATTTGAAGAGTCATTTATTTGAACCACAGCTTTAGACACAATGACTTATGGAGGGCCATTTTTTGAAAGCCAGAATGTAGTAGTTATGAATGCAATGAATGTTACTGCTCCACAAGACTGCATTTAAACATGGGAATTCCTAGTGCTATGTGAAAGCCTAATCTTCTATAATAACTCTCCCTCTCTCTCTCTCCCTCTCTCTCTCCTTTTTTTTTTAAATAAATTCTGTAAGGTTTAATAAAAAATATAAGAGTCTTATAAAATAGTGCCATGATTTCAGAAAACATGATATGCTACATATACCTTTCATCAAATTATGGGTTATGACTAGGCTCTCTTGGTGACTGGGACCAAAAGGTAGTGTGAAGGAATTAATATAATAAAGTACAACACCCATTTCCTACTTCTAGTTTTGTTTGGATACTTATATGCCAGGTCCTTTGAGGCAAACAGCAAGTACTTCAAGACTAGAATAGTGTCCTAGGTAGCTAAGGACAGTTTTGAAATTAAAAATGAGCTTAGACTTTTAAAAAAGATTAAATTTAATAACCTTTTCTTGAGTTCAAGGTCAGAATACTAAGAAATGGCTAGGGTTGTAATAGATCGCTGTTAGATTAATGGAGGAGGAAAAATCATCAGCTTTTTTGTTTGTTTTGGCTCTATGTCTCTGTTAAGAAGAATGATCTTTAGATGCAGAAAAGCATTTGTATTAATGAGCAAACTATGACATATGTGGGAGAAGAAATTGGAGGAAGTGCCCTCCTGAGTCCAGACAGTTCCTCATCTGAACAGATACATTCTCACAATTGATCTTTGAAGTAGTATATAGAAGGGGAGTTTTCAGAAGGCTAGGCTAGGGGGACAGGCTCACATATGTCATTATAATTTTTAAAAAGCTCCTGAGCTCTGAACTTAATATACATGCCAGGAAAGATTGTAGAATCTCTTGTTAAGGGAACAAGATAAGAACAACACGAATATATTCATCACATTACTTTAGGCTTTAGTAGGAGGGGAAATGCAGCAGACAGTGTTAATGTGGAGTATTCGGACTTCTGATAGCATTCCATAGTCTTCTATGTTATCCTCCTGGCTGCATGCTGGAAAGTTGCACTTGAGGCGCTTGATTAATAATTGAGGTTGGCTGGGTTTGCCAGGATGTGTGCCAAAGGGCGTGTGCCCTTTTAAACATTTTTATCAACACACTTGAAGATGTGGGATGTGTGCCCATAACATCTGGGGATGACATGGAACTGGGAGGGATAATAAATACATTTGATGAAAAGAAACAGGATTTTAAAATCACTTGACAGGTTGAATCCAACATAATAGTTAACAGGGATAAATGTTATATCCCATTACTAGATTCCCAAACCAGCTATACAGATACAGAATGAGAGGGAGTTGTTGGCCCCATGGCTTTGTTGGTCAAAATTCCTCTTTAGAAAATAGAATGAGGAAGATGTGACTTACCAGCATTATCATATTATTATCAATATCATTATTAATGCTAGAATGAACATTTATTGAAAATTATTACAATGCCAGGCACTGAGCTAAATGTTTTGTGTGTATTATTTAGTGCATGACAACCCAAAAAGTAAATAGAATAGTTATTCTTATTTACTAAGGCACAAAGAAGGTAAATAACTTGACCAAGGAAATGTAGATAGTAAAAAATAGGAGCTCTCATTCAAAGGCAATGTGATGCATTCCTATCCATAGTAATAAACTTCCATGCAAAAATCAAAAGGAATCAATTAATAGTTTTGAATACATAAAAATTTAAAAGTTTAATACAGAAAATAAAAACAAAAAATCCACTCTAAACAATTCCCCTTTGTATTCCATTCTGGAAGTGGGGGGCTACCTGCTGATACACTATACAGCACAACTGGGTGGGGCATCTGCTGGGGTGGTCAGACATTAGCATGTGCAGTTGCTGGTAAAGCTCATACCAGCTACCAATGCTGATCCATCTAGGTCTTCAATTCCAAACATGAGTGGATGGCTAAATGTCACTGGACCTATGAAGGGGATCAATAGCTTGAAGAGGGGACTATGTGGAGAATTCAGAAATAGCCCCATTAAATTATTATTTTAGATTGAATTACCTATTGAAGCTGTCAGGATCTTTTAAAATTAAATTATGTGTTTTCATCAAATGTATTTATCATCCCTCCCAGTTTCATATCATACACAGATTTTTGGGGTACACATCTCACATCTTCAAGTGTGTTGATTAAAATGTTGAAAAGTTTGTTAGTTTTTTAATGCAAAAAAATAAAAAAAAAGATGGGAGCTTACTTTTCCTTTAGTTTGGATTCTAGGGGATACTGTATCAATAAAATGCAGTTTGCCTGGCACATAGTAGTTGCTCAATAAATATTTGTTGAATGAATGAAAGCAGAGTTCTTGGACATAAACTTTATTGCAAAATATTACACACTCAGTGATAAAAGCATGGAATGGCCGGGCACGGTGGCTCACGCCTGTAATCCTAGAACTCTGGGAGGCCGAGGTGGGCGGATTGCTCCAGGTCAGGAGTTCGAAACCAGCCTGAGCAAGAGCGAGACCCCGTCTCTACTATAAATAGAAGAAATTAATTGGCCAACTAATATATTAGAAAAATTAGCCAGGCATGGTGGCACATGCTATAGTCCCAGCTACTTGGGGGCTGAGGCAGAAGGATCGCTTGAGCCAGGAGTTTGAGGTTGCTGTGAGCTAGGCTGATGCCACGGCACTCACTCTAGCCTGGGCAACAAAGCGAGACTCTGTCTCAAAAAAAAAAATAAAAGCATGGAATGGTAGAATCAACACAATTGGAAACTAAAGCAATAGATTAGAAGACTAGAATACAGAATAAGAAGAAACTGATGGCTACTTGGGAGGCTGAAGTGGGAGGATTCCTTAAGCCCAGGAATGCAAGTCCAGCCTGGGCAACATACTGATACTCCCTCTCTTTTTTTTTTTTTTTTTTTTGAGACAGAGTCTCACTTTATTGCCCAGGCTAGAGTGAGTGCCGTGGCGTCAGTCTAGCTCACAGCAACCTCAAACTCCTGGCTCAAGCAATCCTCCTGCCTCAGCCTCCCAGTAGCTGGACTACAGGCATTCGCACATGCCGCTAATTTTTTGTATATATATATTAGTGCCAATTAATTTCTTTCTATTTATAGTAGAGACGGGGTCTCGCTCTTGCTCAGGCTGGTTTTGAACTCCTGACCTGGAGCAATCGCCCGCTCGGCCTCCCAGAGAGCTAGGATTACAGGCGTGAGCCACCGCCCGCCTGATACCCTCTCTATAATAAATATAATAAATAAATAAGGAAAGGAAAGGAAAACTGATAGACTTATGAAAGAAAGAGTAGGAAACATGGAATGTACTGTCAGTTTCCACGAAAGAAATGATGTTTTTGAAAATTTTTGGTATTTTTTGCTTTAGGCTGAAAAGTGCTAGGCTGGAATAGTGAGTGAAAGGAGACTCGTGCCTAGTCTTGCATGGGTAAAATTAGATGCTCTCAATGGAAAAGGAGTCATTGGCATCGGACTTCTCACTTGCAGTACTTCATGTTTAACAGAATACAGTATCACAAGACTGTAGCTTCTCCATGAGGATCTGAGGTCACCCTGCGCACAGTCCAGGCTGGCTTCCGTTCAGTAGCAGACACCAGCACCGCTACCAACCACTGTTGACCTAGATGGTAGAAAGGAAGTTTTGCTATAGCAATAACTGCAGGGCCACCATGAATATTTAAAATCTGAGATTCTACCATCTTCCTGGTGTCTTAGAATAAAATCCATTGTTCTCCTTGTTCTGTTTTGTTTTGTTCCCTGTTGTTTTCATTACCATAATGCTCCGTTTTCATTTTGCTTAGGTAACTCCACTCTCTGATATGCAAACTTCATATTTTCAGCATCTTCATGGGTGTTTTCTTTTCCTCCAGGCTTTAACTGAAATTGGCTCTCCTGCAGTGCAGGGTTGAACCCACTGTGTGAAGATTGCTCTATTACTCAAATCTATGCACTGGAGACAGGGTTAGCGTCTTACTCACCACCCACATGCTAAACCATTATTTCTTACCCTCTTGGAAAAGATGCGCCACCTCTACTCTTTCATCACTTTCAACAGCTTCTTCTGGTTCCTTTCTCACTCCATGATGGCCTTGGCCCTGTCATATTGTTCTATATGCCTCAAACCTTGCCATTACCTGTGTTACTTCATAGCTTCTCATGAACAATCAAAGACCTTGATCTTAGTCTTAATCTCCTTCTTCTCTCACTTATGCCACCAATTCTGTAGTGATGCTCTAGACTTTGCCATCTTTTAGAATTACCTGATTTTGGCTTGGTATGGTGGCTCATGCCTATAATCCTAGCACTCTGGGAGGCTTAGGTGGGTGGATCGCTCAAGGTCAGGAGTTCGACACCAGCCTGAGCAAGAACAAGA